ATCAAAAGAGCACAAAATATCATTTCCATAAAATGGTAAATGCCTGTAAAATCCAAAACCTCCTTAATCTTTGGCTAAAAGTTCTCAAAACCGCAGGCTGTCTTCCTAATCCGTAAACCACTTCCCCATTTGTCTCATGGGCTACTTGCCTGATATATCTCAACGCCTAAACACGAAACAAAAACTAAATACTCATTTTACAGAACAAGAACACTGTTAAGGGAGAGCTTGAGTCATATCTACTTACAGCAATTGTCATTCTCTGTGCAATTACTTCGGAAGATTCATCAAGGGGTCGCAGCACTTCTGGTACACTCCAAGCCTGCAAAGAACAATAAACTGGAATCAATTCTTGTGGGTGGAAGATGTTGTACAGAGGGATAATGATGTAGTAGCTATAATCTTCCGTACCTCAAGATTAATGTGATCGACGATATGAATTATGGAACCACCACCATCACAAGGCCTTATTAAATACCCACTAGGAAGCATCTCTGCTCTGACAAACTGAGCAGCAGAAGAAGCATTAGGACCAGCTCCCGAACCAGAGAGAGACCTCTCACAAACCTTATTAAAAAGCACACACAGAACATCATTTTACTATCAGATATATTTTTCATGGGGACTTTGTGAGATATGCATACCACAAAACTGCCGTTCTCAAGGCTTGTAGTATATCTGAGGGTCCAGAAGTCACGGGGAGGAGCCAGAGTCGTTGGTGCATATGTCTGATAAACATAATAGCATTACTCAAATGAATATTGTTAAAGAAACAGAAAGACTAAATGAATAAAAAAAAAAGATTTCACCTGCATATATATGAGCTCAATCGTCCCACCATTACCAGCAGGGAACATAGTGAAAATTTCAAGGCTCCGGCAGTCGCGGAACCAAGATTGTCGATCTTTGAGGATCTCAAGAATCTGCACAATAAAGTTTACATCGAGCTAAATTAAAAAAAAAGTTTGGAACCACAATTTTTAAGGTGGAACATAGCAAGTACTTAACCTTCATAGGTTCTAAACTAACAAGACCACAAGCTCGAGCTGCCACGCCATTGCATCTTTGTGAAATGGCGAAAATGCCAACTGAATCAGGACCAGGCTGAAACAGAAGAATCACCTCTCAAATACATATGTAACAGCTAAAAACGTGCACTATGTATTATTTACCTTCATCCCAGGCATTTGGACCCAATCAACAGCAGTTCCTGTAGCCTTTGAAAGGAACTCTGCCAATGTCTCCTCTGCAATCGCGAGCAATCTTCCAAAAATATACCAAGCTTTGTTACATCCACACACCACACAAGAAAATTAGAATAAGGCTAATCTTTGATTACCCTGCGTGACTATTTGCATCTCCAAGAGAATGCTGAGGAGTTGGATCCACCGATTCACAGCTAGCATCAGTCCCCTGAAAATTCACAATCAGAACTTTGCAAACACCAGACGCATCCAAGATTTAGTTCTCTTTCTCTTTGGTGCATACCACTGTGGTAAGCTGCTGCTTCATATATCCGTTTTCATTGACAAGATGAGAAACCTGTTTTTGAAGCCTATCATTCTCCTCCATCAACAGCTTATTCATAGCTGAAAGCTTACGGTTTACACTCTGCAGCCTCGAAGCCTCTTTCCTCTGTTTATCTCGACACCTGAAACGTACAAAACCAATCACTACACAAGTGTATATTTCCTCTCTAAAAGGGAGAATCAAATCCACATCCACCAATAGAATTATATACACGACGGAATCATCAAAAAAATTAAACTTTAGCGAGAATACTCGAAACCCATTAATCCATACCAAACTTGCAAATCTTTTGATTTTTTGTTTGTTTGTGTTACCTTCGGTTTTGAAACCAGACTTTGATCTGCTTGGGTTCAATATGGGCCAAAATGGGACATGCTCTGATCAGCTGTTGACGGCGGAGAGAGGTGGGTTTAGGACACTCTGAGTAAACGCGCTCGAGTTCCTCCACTTGCTCCGCCGTGTACCTTACATACTTCCCGCTGCTATCCAAATGCCGATTTATATTGTCACCACTCTCATTGTGATTCGCCACCGCCATCGGCATTTTCTTTATAAGAACCTTCAAAGTCCGACGGTTTTCTTTTCTCTCTCTCTCTTCTCCGTCTATCTCGCTTTTCTTTTGGTTTCTTCTTTTCTTTATTTTTAACTTCTTCGGAAAATCCTCGTTTCTTAAAGAGTAACGTAAGTGAAAGTGCTTGTCTCTTTTGTTTTTCTCAGACAAAGAAGATTCTAAGGTCGTGTCTTCTAGTGAAAGTCCACAGACAAGTGGAACACAAACTTTGAACAAGAAACAGAGACAAAAGAAAAAGTGTTTTACAGACAAGTAAACAAAAGCTTCACCGAAGATCTTAGAAAATTACAGTTTCTTTCAAGAAAATAACACAATCACCCAAAAACACTTCATCAGGATTTGCGGGAGAAGAAGAAACCCAAGTTGAATCATTGTGAGTTTATTTTTACCAAAAAAAAAAAAAAAAAATCTTACACACTTGAGAGAGTAAAACCTAAAGAACCACACAAAGAATGAAGACCAAAGTAGACTACCCAAAAGTTTGTCAGTCAAAGCAGAACAAAAGCAAATGTTCTCTTCAGAAATTAGAGCGAGAGAGACTGGCTGGTCTGAACATCGAACAGTAAGACAGAGACAGGGAAAGGAGTTTGCACGCATACCGACAAGTGTTTTTAGATTAGATGATTAAAATAAATTTAAAAATGTTCTTTAATAAATACGGCGGGCATTTACAGAGTTGTCCCTACCTTATTTTTAGAGATGACAACGTAGGGATCCACCTACTGTCCTACTTCGTCCTCTCTATGTCATTTATTTATGTCAACTGATTTGACCCAACGACTCTTTGTTCATTTCTTTTTTTTTTTTTGTAACAACACTCTTTGTTCATTTCTTCGCAACCCCTGTCGTTTTTCAACTTCTCGATTTTTATTTAGAGTTATTACCCTGCATATTCATAAAAAAAAGATGTATATTAGTTAACTATCAACAATGTTTACATGATTCAGAACCCTATTTTTCACTTTCAACATTTCACATTATCTTATCTTTCTTTCAAATTATCTTCTCTTTTCTATCTAATAATTCAATACTCATTTACTTTACAATAGTTTATTAAATTTTATTCAATATTCTATCCTACAATTTTTCTTTTAATATTTTTTTTTCATACATAAAATCAAATATTAAAGATAAAAAATAAGTAAATACATTAATAAAATCAATAAAATTACGAAAATAACATATAATACCATACATTAATAATCACATAACATAAATAATAAAACACACATAGCTTAACTAATGCAATAAATTCAATCAATAAACTTAAAAATCTCTTCAACAAAGGAACATTTCAAATTTTTCTCATATGTGTTTGACTAAATCTACTTATAATTCGTGATGTACACTAGAATCACGCAATTTAAAGGATAGTTTGAAACAACTGATGGTATAAAGAATTTGGTTGATAACCATAATTTGGTCTTGATAAAAAAACAATAAGTTGGTAAATGTTGAGGATGACTAAAGATTGATTTTAAAATTAATAATTATTGGAATTTGGATAGTTAAAAGGATAATTATTAGAATTTTGGGTGTTAAAAATATCATTATTGAGATTCATTTCACTTGAAAAGGAAAAAAATATAAATGTAGAGAGTTTTTTGTAGACTAAAAGAAAAATTATAATAGAAAGAGATGATTTTTTTGTGTATGTCCAAATCAAATGAAACAACTCTCTATTTATAGAATATGAAAAATGAACTTTTTTTGATATGAATATATTTTTAAATGAAATTTAAGCAAATAATTGAGAAGAAAAAAAACAAATCAAAAATTTCATTCACCGATAATTTAGTAGAAAGTGGCTTTTGGGGGTCCACTTTACCTCATCTTCACGGATCCAACAATGTTGAATTCTTTCAACCATTTTGAATCCATGTCACATTCACTTTATTTTTCAATACTCCATTGCACTTTTTCAACTATTAAATAAAAAGATTTAATAGGCCATTGTATTTTCCACAATTGTTTTAGATTCAATACTTTCCACTTCATTTTTTAACACGCACATCATTTTTTTTTCTTCCATCTCATCTTTCAACACATATTCAACTTTTACCCAGTACAATGATTTTGTTGAATAAATTTCAACACTCTATTTTTTAATTAATATTTATTATTTTCTATCCAAATTAAATAAATCTAATATCTATTTATAGAGAATTTAAAATGATAAATTTCATATAAGAAATAAAAATAAATTATTTAATTTATAATAAGGTTCTTGGTTTTAAATAAGTAAATGGGTGTGAAAATATCAAAAAGTGACATGTGTCATCAGTGGCTCCCACTTTCTTTTCAAATAGTTGAAACTTTTCAACACCAAATAATCCACATCATCAAATTTCATTTTCAACACCCTCATTGTAGTGATTCAACTGTTGGATTTTTTATTCAACATCCCCATTGTAGATAGTCTAAGTAGTCTTAAGTCTTAACTGGATACGACTTTTTTGTATTTAGCTAATTAATCGAGTATGCTTGGGATGCGAATTGTCCGGATTAACCTCAAATGACTTTTCAATTGCCTAAGCCTATGTAGATGAGAAATGTGTAGGCGTCGAAATATCATAGGAGGACGTAACAAGTCAGAATAATGTCGGTGAAGACGTAGAAGTTTTAGTTCCTAAATTCAAAGATATTGTAATTTTTTTTACATATAATTATACTTCAACTTTTGTAATAATTCAGTTTAGCTATTCAGATTATGTCGGTTTATGTTTTCTAAGTTTACCGAGATTAATCAAAGTCAATATAAAGAGAATGGTTTAAAATTGAAACATGCGTTTAATACAATATTAATAAGATTTTTAAGGGATTACGTTGTTCAAATCAAACAAAAAGAACCACACCATGTATACAGAAACTTGTAGTTACGAATTGAAGGTGGTGATATTCAATTTTTAAGCAAAAGAATTATGGTAGCGGAGACAATAATAAAACTAACCCAGGAGAGAGCAAACATTTGCCGGAGAACCCTTTCTTTGTCGATATAATCATGCCAGAATAGTTGTTGTACCTCGGTGATGTGGATAAGGGGGGAAGAAGTATCTGACACACGAAGTGAAGGAAGCTCGTCTATAGCTTCTATTATGGTTTTCTTCAGTGTTTCATTCTCTTTCTTATAACGCCGGATCTGATCGCTTTCTTCCAACAAGCTTGCTTTCTGCCATTCTATTTTCTCCTCTGTATCCTCCCAACACACAAATCCATGTACTTCGCAACGGCGAAACCTTCTTCCGGGATTTTTGTCAGTCCACGAAAGCGTACACACCATCTGCTTTGAACAACGACATAGAGGTGCAATTGTCTTATTTAAATCACGAGTCGAATAAAAAGAATTAGAGCTTGTCCTTGCCATCAGTTGGCCTTATTCGAAACTTTGGAGGAGAAAGGGATTAGAGATTGTTCTCATGAGTTGGTGATTTATTCCTAGTCCTTGTTAGCACATATAACAAACACGTGTCTGAATCAGGTTTATGAAAAAATATATATCTTCCCGGTTTATTATATTAAATTATTATTATGTCCGGTTTTGAATGAAATCGAATTGAACAATCACAACCAGGAGATGGTTTTCGTCATAGCGCATGGGAACCGTAATCACGCCTCTCATGCGGATTCTTCAAGAGTAAGGTTTTTGAAAAATAACATTATTAACATTTTCTTGTCAAACGTAATATTTTCATAGGGCTTATGATGATACCTATGACGTTTTAGGCGCAGACAACAATTGATAGGGATGTGAGCTGGATTCACAAGTTGTTTATATGTGTGTATCTATCCCCGGTTTCAGCATCCTCTTTACTGCTATAAAAGTGGAGTCCCTTGCTTCAATTCCAGAAAGCAAACAAAAAAAAGCCTTTTCAGCTTCTGAAGAAAACTACCGGGTGTTCAAGAGAATCTTCATGTGTCTAAAAGGTACTTCTTGTTTTCTAGCCGATTCATCATTTATTTTGTCGGTCTATTTTCGATTTATGGGGTCACTATACAAACCCTAATTTTCCAGATCTTTGTATCCTATTTTACTTTGCTTTTGAAATATGATCTCGTCAAAACAACCATTGTAGATGCCAATTCCTATTCATCTCGAGCAAGGTTTGTGGGTGAAAACTCCCAAAGGAGGCTGGGATTTTATGAACAGTGTCGACTACCACAGCGAGGCTATTATGGTCCGTGAGAACGAAAGCTTTGAAGACTTAATGACTCTTGTTCGTGTAAGATTGGAGCTAAGCGTTGATACTCCCGTTGAGCTAATCTACCAGTTTTTAGAGTGGATAATGTTACCGAATGCGCCAAGGTCCGCACCGGCGAATGTTTTAGAGAAACGGGATGTGGAGGTCATGATGAGCATCATGGATTTTAACGATGTTTATGTGTAGTATGTGATATCTGGTCCTGAAGATGTTTCTAGGTACCAGTTTTTCTGGCGGTCTCCATTCACTGTCTGCAACACCTCATTTCTTGGTGTCAGTGTTATAGAGGCTCAACACTGTCTTGACATCAGAGGTGATTCTTCATTCTTTTATACTTTGAGTATGATTTTATTTAATTTTGGTGTTCCAATGCCCTATTCTTTATAATACAGCTTTAGTTTGAAACCATCCTATAAGTTGCGTGAAAAGCATGCTGGAAACTTGATTCGACAAATACCAATTGGTGATAATCTATCGTCTGTCTCTTGAAATCGAGTTAGCATTTTCTGATGACGATATTAACGCCGGCGTATCAGAAAGTCCACTAATGTCACCCTTTTCCAATCAACACTAATGTCGTCTGAGCCAACGGTTAGTTATACTTAGTTTTTTTAAAAAAATATTCATCTATTACTTTTCCCAACCCAATACCAACCCTCTCATTTTGTTAAATATGGTCTTTGTTTTTCAGTTACTGGTAATATGGAGGGTTAAGAAGTCCACCAGCAGGTACTTTACTATGAAGTGTCACCTGATCACACTTGATATATTCCATGGCGCAAGCTTGGAGGCTGAGAGAGCTGGAGGTGTCATTGATATAATTGATGATGGTGACAACTGGGAAGGTATGTATGTTCATCTTGTTACATATTTTAATACATCACAGTTGATATGATGCTAACACAAGGCGTTTTAGGTCACATCCCAAAGGAAGGTACTCGAAATCCGAAAACTGCGCACTCAGCTCCACTCTCTCTTGTTGGTGTTGTTGCAGAATCATACACTGCTTCCTCCAAGGACACTCAAGGAGCTACTGGCTACATAATTGGTTTTTAGGCTAACGATAAAGGTTTTCTTATTTCTACAATATTTTACGCCAATATATTAGTTACAGCTTAAAGAAATACGTTATAATTGTTTTTTCTTCTACTTTACTAGGTGCGACTTCCGTTCAGCATAAAGAGGTTCATGGTGTTAAGAAATCAGTCGCTGGCATCAAAAGCATAGGCGTAGTGGAAAAGGACGTGGCTGGACCATCTCTTGACTTACTCTAGGCTAAGGTGCAAATGTTGGTAGTGTGAAAGGAAAAACTGTTGTCGTAATTGATGACTCATCTTCGGAAGTTGGTGACGACAATGGTGGGTTGTCTACCATGCCCTAGATAGATAAGATCTTAGGTTTTATTTTGTGTTTACGCTATGTATTTAAAAACCGGTGGAGTGATATACCATGGATTTTACCCACTTTCAGTCTGGTATATAAGTGTTTTATTATCTAATATTATATTTTAGAGTCTATATAGAATATTTATAGGTCCAAGAGTGATTTGGAATAAAGTGATGATTTTGGAAGTCTTTTGAGACAAGAGGAGTTTCACCTGAGCTGGCCATCGAGTAGGCCGAGAGGTCGACATTTAGAGATCATGATCGATCGATGGGCGTAAAATGCAGAGACACGATTTTGGTCCAGATTGTTTGAAGCCCAAGTCTTCACTAAATTATAATATTATCCCTGAATAGTTTTAACCTAAGTATTAATAGCTTTTCCAAGAGTGGTTCCGGTAAAGTGTGTTTTTTCATATTCTTGTTTTCATACCTAAAATAGTTAGAGAGAGTTGGAGAGAAGATTCAAAACTTCTACAAGCTTGTGACTGGAACTCCATTTTAATATATATATTCTATCTATGCAGTTTTCTTATCTTATTGTTATTATGAATTGCTTTGCTATGTCTGAGTAGGTCCACTGTTAGATTTAGGGTTTAAATAGGTTATGAGGGATTAGCCCAAAATATTGAATTGTTAAGTTGTAGTATTCATCAATAGGATTGAACTTAATGCTTGTGTTCTAGAGTAGCTAACTAGAACCCTGATGTTAGGATGATTAGATACAATTTGTCATCCTAACTAGTTTTAATTGAACAAGGATTGCAAGAAAAGGCGACAACTGATCTTGGAACCTAGTGAGTAGTTAATCAACTCGAGCATAAAGCTTGGCTAGAAGCTGATCGATCGAGATTTATATTGAATATTCGATCGACGCTTGCGAAAGGTGTATCGATCGATACTTCTATAGAGTCATCGATCGACACTTTCTATTGGTCAACATGCGACAGCCGAGACCAGTAGATCTAGTCAATATACGCTATAAAACGCGACACAGTGATGGAGTGTACTCTAGTTGAGCTCTAATATATCCTCCAACTGAAGAGTACACGATGCTGGTACCGCGAAATAGTAAACCAATCTTATAGCCAAGACAACATTGGTTCAGCGATTTTCCCATTACTGATTTTGACTTAACACCCTCCGGTTCATCCAACTCGTTTGCACCCTCCTATTCGGATTCATCTGATGAATCTTGGTTAATTATGGCTGAATTACTCATACATAAATATATATATATATATATATATAATAGTGTGTCTTTACAAATTATGATGTTTTGTGTGTTGTTTATTCATGTTATGTAATAAACATATTATATGAAAATGTTTAATCTATATTAAAATAATGCGTTTGATTATTTCTAAAATAGAATAGTTAGGTTAAACTATTAAATATGAAAAATTATAAGGAATTATTAATAAATTATGATAAAGTGGAAACAAAATATACTTGGAATATTAATTTTACAAGAAAAAATGAAGCAACCAACTAAATAAAAATTGATTCATTTTTTTTCTTCATCTTGAAGAAAGTGAGCTTGTGAAAATAAAAATAAAGCCAACAATTGTAGATGCGTACAAAATGCATACTTTTGTTGCTCACTTTCCTTACTGTTTTATTTAGGATCTTTCAATGTGCGACGGCCTTCGAGATCAGATCTCCTCTCCTAGGAAATAATTGGAGAGTGAGTTTACCAAACAAATTGAGGCAAGCGTTTTACTCAAAGGGAGCAAACAATAGATGCGGAATCAGCAATTTCTTCTAAGGATAATTTCATTGTCTTCACCGGAAAAGAAATTAAGTGAGTGTGAAACAAACATGTAGAATTTGAAAGCGAGATTTACTGTCAAGAAAGAGGTAATGCTTCTCTTAATGAAAAGAATATTTTGTACATCTAAAAATCTTGCATCCTTTATTGTACTATTGGTAAAGTGTGAGTCTCTGTTTTTGTATTTAACACATTATTTCATTTTGCTTAGAGGAAGAGTTGGAAGGCAAGTCATCAAAAACGTTGATATCACCCAAATTACCCTAAGAGTGAATTACTCTCTCAAATAAGAGGTTCAGTTGCAGTACTTAGGGATCGAATCCACAAAGACTCTAGGATTACACAATAGATTTATAGATTTCGGAATAAAGCTAGACGATAGGTCTTAACAGTAAATGAAAGGGGTGAACAAGGTAGTTGTTCAGTTGGTTTGAATTGTGGTTGTGACAATTTTGGAGATAGCTAGATTCAGGTATTTTCTCAGGTATGACAAGTATCTTTATTAGGGTTGCTAAGAATTCTTAACTACTGTGCATAATCTATCAGCTGTCGTATGTTTAGATCATCTAAACCTGGATCTATTGATCTCGGCTGTTGCATGTTGATCAATAGAAAGTATCGATCGATGATTCTATATGAATATCGACCAATACACCTTTCGCAAGCATCGATCGATTACTCTATGTGAGCATCGATCGATCGCACTTCCAGAAAGCTTTACACATGGGTTTGATAAGTTCCCCGTATGAATCTAATTGTTAGGCCATCCTAGTTTAGTGTCAGGCAATAGGCTAAGATGTCGCTTGTACCAATTAGTCTTAAGATCTAAATTGAGGGTGATCAATCCTAAGCTTAGCATTAAGAACAAACGAGATGAAGAATATAATCAAGGTATTCCTAACAACACTTCAGATCATAAATAAATAGATCAACCTTATGAGAAACCTAAATCTAATAATAAGATTACTCAAACATATTCATGAGAAGCATAATCATAATGATCTGAATATTACTTAGAATAGATGAAAAACAAATAAAACAAGTAATAGAATAGCAAACAAGGGAGCTCAAGATCTTCTCTATTATGTAGTTCAGATCTCTCTCTCTCCCTCTCTCTCTGGGGTAGAATACGGCTCCACAAATGCAATAAAGTATCCAAGCTTAGGGTTTACAAAATAATAAAAGTTAATAAATAGTCAAACATTCGACCATGGACTTGTCTTGCAAAATGGGAAACATCTGGGTAAAACTTGTAGTTTCCAAAATCATTATTACACTCGTGGGTGTAAGTGCCCTTGATCGATGCACAAAGTGTTACATCGATCGATAGTATGTGTATAATCTTTCTCTGACTCGGGCTTCAAGCTGAGCATTCTTCAATGCTCTAAAATGGTTCAAAAACTCCAATTTCCTTACACAAGTACCTGAACTTGTAAAGACTCTAAAAAGATTCCAATTGCATATAAAATACTTCAAAAACATATTTAGATCATGGTTGAAAATGGGTAAAATCCATGACCTACCAAGCTTCATAATGGTTCATGAAAAAATTTGTGAAATATGTAAATTTGAAGTATATACACAAGATTAGGTGCATCTCATTGTTTAATATCACAAAATCAATGAATATACATGTCATACTACTTCAGTATTAATATATGTAAAATAAGTAATAGCAAGGCCATCACATAATTTACTATATAGCATCTATCATTGGACATTTCGTAACTCTTAACTCTTTGGGTTTATAGCGAACCATACCTAGTTAGCTAATAATAATAGGAGGAATGGAATTTAAATTTATACCCATTCACGTTTAGGGATTTTTGCAGATTTGACCTAAAACTTGAAGTCAAACACAAAAATAACCTTCCTTTTTTTGGAAATTGATTTTTCCCTGTTTATCCCACAAGTTCATATAATTCACGAAAATGCCATCAATTTTTTTTCCGAAAATGACATTTTTACTCTCTCACCCTCATCATTTTTAAGTAATTACAAGATTGCCATTGTCATCAATACCCCAACCACCA